GAACATCTAGAAGAGATACAATCGATCGCTCAGGTTAAGTGAAACGATAATCCTAGATCGACTGGAGAGTCTTTCGTAGAGGATCTCGCTGTGGTTGCGCACCCCAGCTAGAGGAAGTAAAGGGAATAAGTCCCAAGATTACAAATACGGCGGAAATAAGTTCCCCGAAACCCGCGGGAATAAGTCCCCGGGAAGCCGAAGGAATAAGTCCTTCGAGGCCTGAGGGAATAAGTCCCCAGGAAATGACAGAGAAATTGAATGTCATAGTCAATAACGGATCAAGTGTAGGCGCTTATACACTTGATCTGATTGCGCCTCCGAAGTTGACTTCGGAGATCACTCAGTTGCCAACGCTCGAGTACAAAAGGTTCTTGCGTGATCTTCTTAGTAGCAAAGTCAAGCAGATCTGCGTACTCGTCGCTGACGGCTATCAGCCGCGTCATCTGCACCCAGCTGAGCGGAATTATCCAGTGCATGACAAGAAACTCCTTGCCATGAAGTATGCACTCGCGAAGTTCAGAGTCTATCTATTAGGAGATAGACCCTTCATTGTTTACACAGAACATGCGTCGTTACGCACGGCAGTAAACAGCCCGCACCTTTCACAACGAATGGCGCGGTGGTTGTCATTCTTTGCAGAATACATCTTTACGGTCGAGTACAAACCAGGACGACTTAATGTCGTCGCTGATGCACTCTGACGTCGGCCCGACTTTGAACCAGTCGTAAAACCCAACAGTGAGACAGCCAATGTTGCGGTTGTGACATCCTCAGTCCCATCTTCAACGTTGCATGATGGTGTGAAGCGGGTGTATGCCCAAGATGCTGAGATTGTGAAATTGTTGACACATCTCTCTCAACCATCTCGAGAATCGTTGAAACAGTTATCGTCTGCGTATCGATCTGCATCAGATCGATACACTACTTGCAACGGGTTACTGTATTATACAGCCGTTTCTGGTGACACACCACGTGTTGTCATTCCAGATGATACTGATCTGCGTTTGCGGATCATGTTCGAAAATCACGGTACTCCGATAGGAGGACATCGTGGCCGCGAGAAAACATATCGCACGGTGAGTCGAGCCTTTTACTGGCCCCGCCAGTATCAGTTTGTGCGAAAGTATGTTCACGCCTGCAAAGTCTGTCAACGAGTGAAGTCAAGTCCTTCACTGCGTGCACATTTGCAGCCTCTACCAGTTCTGGCAGAGTGCTGGGAATCCACCTCAATGGATTTCTTCTTCGGGTTACCCAAAGACGCACGCAAGAATACGGGTATTCTTGTATTTGTTGACAGATTCAGCAAAATGGTACATCTTGTGGCTGTACGGGAGTCAATCACGGCAAGTGGCTGTGCTTATGTCTTTTTTGACACCATCTTCCGACTTCATGGGTTGTCCCGTGAACTCGTATCAGACAGAGATCCACGATTCACTGCTGAATTCTGGCGCTCCGTGTTCAAATCACTCGGAACGCACTTGAAGATGTCGATATCTGATCATCCAGAGTCAGATGGTCAGACGGAACGTGCCAATCGTGTCCTCGAAGAGATACGTCGAGGATACGTACACTCCTTTGAGACTTGGAGTGAGTTCTTGCCAATGGTAGAGTTTGCCATTAACAACTCGGTGCATGCGTCCACGACACAAACACCGTTTTACGTGAATGGCTTGCGCCATCCGCGTGTACCCACCTTACTCGAGTGTAACTCTGGTTTAAGGGAGGGAGAGACTCGCGCGAGCAAAAACCGATTTGGTTCACGCTCATCACGCTCTGACGAAGAGGTCATTGCGTTCGATGCCGATATCGACAACATCGATATCGAAGAAGATGATGCCAGTGAGAGTGCGGAAGCCCTCACTGAAGAAAAGGTTGATGTTGCTGCAGTGCACTCACAGCGCACTGAAGCTAACGAGTCATCAGATGAGTTCATACTGGCTCGTGAAACGGTAGTCCGTTTTGTGCAAGACTCCATCGCCGAAGCGGTGGATAAGCAAAAGCAAAACGCTGACAAGAATGGAAGGGTAAACACTCTTTTATTTAATAAAGGTGACTTAGTCCTACTGTCTACGGTTAATCTACCAAAGCATGTAGTGACTAACTTGGGTAGCAGTAAACTACTACCCAAGTACATCGGCCCATTTCGTGTATTGCACCGCCTAGGAAATGCATACACGATCGAGTTGCCACGTAAGATGCGAACGCATCCCACGTTTTACGTTGGTCAGCTTAAGCCGTACCATCAGTACGCTGCTTCTTCCGATGAAGAACGCCCTTGCGCTCAAGCATCTCTCAGAGAGCCTTGTGCTCCCGATGATGGGCATCGACAAGGGTCTGGAGAGCAGTTATCTCAGCCCGAGACCGATCAACAATCCCACGAGCTACCCTTAGCTCGTCACGAAGAGATGTCAGAGCTCTCTCGTTCTCAAGCTGAGCAAAGGCAAAATCAGCTCGATTCTTCGAGACAGCGTCCGCCAGTTGGAGACGCCTGTCCCGCTCATGTTCGAGATCGCCGCGTAACCCTTGCGTTACGCGATCAAAGAAGCTCTCCGGAACACACGCATCCCCACGATCGTGTGGAGAGCGTCTTCCCTCCTCCTCCACCTCCATTAGAGGACTCTCGCGGTGGCCAGCGCTATCTAGTTGAGCAGCTGTTGAACCACCGCGACGTGAACGGACGTCGGACGATTTCTCTCGTCCGGTGGCACGGCTATCCCCCGTGCTGGGATACTTGGGAGCCCCGCTCCCAACTGATGATTGACGTACTGGGTCTGGTTGAGCAGTACGACGCGGCACATCCTGTGCCGCAGAAGGACCGCTGGAGAAAGTCTTCCCGGCACGGTCGTAAAGAGATTTCAGGTTGTCAATCCCTTCGTACATCTCACTAGAGATACGAGATACACGCGCCACCACGGGCTAGTAAGGAGGTAAGCCTCCTTAGGTGCTCGTGCAGAGTTGTTCACACAACATGGGCACGAGTCTCCCCAAGAGAGGCAGGGTAATTCCTTCTCCCTTGACAGACGATGCAGCTTGTAGCGTGCACCTGTCGGGGTTCGCTTTTCAAACTTATCACGAGCTTTGATAAGTTTGTCGTTCCAAGCGTCACGACCTACATCCTCAAGGACATGGATGTAAGCGTTCCACGCTTGAAGCAGTGAGGGACCATCACGCTTGTGATTCCCACTGTACCGTCGATGTTTAAAGAAAGCATCGATGAAGAAATCGTTCTCAGCGCGATAGTTTTTTCGCACTGGGGTCAAGGTGATGGATCCTTGACGAATCGAACAACCGTGTTCGATAACGATCACTCGTCGTCGCCGACAAGTGATCCATGACGGATTTAGGAGGCATCCATGCCTTCTTCTCGGGAGCGAGACGCAAGACATTGCGGTCCCGCTCTTCCTGCGACGTGCCGACAGAAGTACTGGCACCTCGTTGCGAAGTGGTGTCAATAGGAGAACCGACACCACTGTTAGCGCCCAAGTCTTGCGATCTCGAACGCCTTCGCTATGGCTATGGTTCGTCTGATTCTTCAGACGAACCAAAGATACTACGACGCGTAGCATCATCCATGCCACGCTTGGCAGGCGGCTTGGATTCGATCACCGTCGATACGGATCCTTCTTCCGTATCAGGAGAGTATGAGACTTCGAGCTCATACTCTGTGAAGACATGAGTGTCTTCACGACGAGCGCCTGCATCACCATGAGACACAGGCTGAGTCGCTTCAGCAACCGATGAGACATCAGTTGCTGCAGTTTCTGCTTCGGCGGCCTTGCTCGCGCATCGCATGGGCTTGTTAACCATGCGATGAACTGTTGGAAAGTGGACTCGGACCAACAAGTGCAAACCCTGTCCCAAATGATTTGAGACGAGTATCCATTTAGTCAATCAGTCACTAAAGTGACTGATGGTTAAGGGGGGAGGGTGATGTAACGGGGTGAATCGTTACATAACAATTTATATGAAATTGTTAATAGAATATAACTATGAGAGTTATATTCTCAGAATATTGTCATAAGGACAAATATTCTGTAGCACTTACGAGTAGTTCCTAATTGGTTAATGTAGGCCATTACATCAACCAACGAAGACGCGCCACGACAGACGCACGCAATGAGTGGTGAGCAGATAGTTGATCTACACATTTGCATTAAGACACAGTTAGATGAAGATAAATAGTGATTTCATGCAGACATTAACTATTATAAATACAGTTCTACTTTTTACTTTAGCCAAACTCGCTTCTTCTTACCGTCTTCCTCTGCACGTACGAGTGTACTTGAAGTTCCGAGGCACCGCCTTATTCTGTCATCAGAATAAGTAGCTTGTACTGTCACCAGTACAAGCTTCAGGGTGCCCCGTTACATCACGCATGTCTCGCTCACGCATCGCACGTCGCGTCGAATAGCTAAGTGCACTTGTAACGGGGCACCCTAAAGCTTGTACTGGTGACAGTACAAGCTACTTATTCTGATGACAGAATAAGGCGGTGCCTCGGAACTTCAAGTACACTCGTACGTGCAGAGAGGAAGACGGTAAGAAGAAGCGAGTTCTTGGCTAAAGTAAAAAGTAGAACTGTATTTATAATAGTTAATGTCTGCATTAAATCACTATTTATCTTCATCTAACCATGTCTTAATACAAATGTGCATATCAACTATCTGTTCACCACTCATTGCGTGCGTCTGTCGTGGCGCATCATCGTTGGTTGATGTAATGGCCTACATTAACCAATTAGGAACTACTCGTAAGTGCTACAGAATATTTGTCCTTATGACAATATTCTGAGAACATAACTCTCATAGTTATATTCTATTAACAATTTCTTATAAATTGTTATGTAACGATTCACCCCGTTACATCACCCTCCCCTAACCATCAGTCACTTTAGTGACTGATTGACTAAATGGATACTGGCCTTAAATCGTTTGGGACAGGGTTTGCACTTGTTGGTCCGAGTCCACTTTCCAACATCTCATCGCATGGTTCACAAGCCCATGCGATGCGCGAGCAAGGCCGCCGAGAGCGCGTCTGCACGTCTCTGTGCGGACGCCGAAGCAGAAACCACAGCAACTGATGTCCCATCGGTTGCTGAAGCGACCCAGCCTGTGTCACTTGGTGACGCAGTGAGGCGCTGGTCATGAGGACACTCATGTCTTCACAGAGTATGAGCTCGGAGTCTCATACTCTCCTGATACGGAAGAAGGATCCGTATCGACGGTGATCGAATCCAAGCCGCCTGCCAAGCGTGGCATGGATGATGCTACGCGTCGTAGTATCTGTGGTTCGTCTGACGAATCAGACAAACCATCGCCAAAGCGAAGGCGTTCGAGATCGCAAGACTCGGGCGCCAATAGTGGTGTCGGTTCTCCTATTGACACCACTTCGCAACGAGGTGCCAGTTACTCTGTCGGCACGTCGCAGGAAGAGCGGGACCGCAATGTCTTGCGTCTCGCTCCCGAGAAGAAGGCAATGGATGCCTCCTAAATCCGTCATGGATCACTTGTCGGCGACGACGAGTGATCGTTATCGAACACGGTTGTTCGATTCGTCAAGGATCCATCACCTTGACCCCAGTGCGAAAAACTATCGCGCTGAGAATGAATTCTCCATCGATGCTTTCTTTAGACATCGATGGTACAGTGGGAATCACAAGCGTGATGGTCCCTCACTGCTTCAAGCGTGGAACGCTTACATCCATGTCCTTGAGGATGTAGGTCGTGACGCTTGGAACGACAAACTTATCAAAGCTCGTGATAAGTTTGAAAAGCGAACCCCGACAGGTGCACGCTACAAGCTGCATCGTCTGTCAAGGGAGAAGGAATTACCCTGCCTCTCTTGGGGAGACTCGTGCCCGTGTTGTGTGAACAACTCTGCACGAGCACCTAAGGAGGCTTACCTCCTTACTAGCCCGTGGTGGCGCGTGTATCTCGTATCTCTAGTGAGATGTACGAAGGGATTGACAACCTGAAATCTCTTTACGACCGTGCCGGGAAGACTTTCTCCAGCGGTCCTTCTGCGGCACAGGATGTGCCGCGTCGTACTGCTCAACCAGACCCAGTACGTCAATCATCAGTTGGGAGCGGGGCTCCCAAGTATCCCAGGACGGGGGATAGCCGCGCCACCGGACGAGAGAAATCGTCCGACGTCCGTTCACGTCGCGGTGGTTCAACAGCTGCTCAACTAGATAGCGCTGGCCACCGCGAGAGTCCTCTAATGGAGGTGGAGGAGGAGGGAAGACGCTCTCCACACGATCGTGGGGATGCGTGTGTTCCGGAGAGCTTCTTTGATCGCGTAACGCAAGGGTTACGCGGCGATCTCGAACATGAGCGGGACAAGCGTCTCCAAATGGCGGACGCTGTCTTGAAGCATCGAGCTGAGTTTGTCTTTGCTCAGCTTGAGAACGAGAGATCTCTGACATCTCTTCGTGACGAGCTAAGGGTAGCTCGTGGGATTGTTGATCGGTCTCGGGATGAGATAACTGCTCTCCAGACCCTTGTCGATGCCCATCATCGGGAGCACAAGGCTCTCTGAGAGATGCTTGAGCGCAAGGGCGTTCTTCATCGGAAGAAGCAGCGTACTGATGGTACGTCTTAAGCCGACCAACGTCAAACGTGGGATGCGTTCGCATCTTACGTGGTAACTCGATCGTGTATGCATTTCCTAGGCGGTGCAATACACGAAATGGGCCGATGTACTTGGGTAGTAGTTTACTGCTACCCAAGTTAGTCACTACATGCTTTGGTAGATTAACCGTAGACAGTAGGACTAAGTCACCTTTATTAAATAAAAGAGTGTTTACCCTTCCATTCTTGTCAGCGTTTTGCTTTTGCTTATCCACCGCTTCGGCGATGGAATCTTGCACAAAACGGACTACCGTTTCACGAGCCAGTATGAAATCATCTGATGACTCGTTAGCTTCAGTGCGCTGTGAGTGCACTGCAGCAACACCAACCTTTTCTTCAGTGAGGGCTTCCGCACTCTCACTGGCATCATCTTCTTCGATATCGATGTTGTCGATATCGGCATCAAACGCAATGACCTCTTCGTCAGAGCGTGATGAGCGTGAACCAAATCGGTTTTTGCTCGCGCGAGTCCCTCCCCCCCTTAAACCAGAGTTACACTCGAGTAAGGTGGGTACACGCAGATGGCGCAAGCCATTCACGTAAAACGGTGTTTGTGTCGTGGACGCATGCACCGAGTTGTTAATGGATGGCAAACTCTACCATTGTCAAGAACTCAATCCAACTATAAAAGGAGTGTACGTATCCTCGACGTATCTCTTCGAGGACACGATTGGCACGTTCCGTCTGACCATCTGACTCTGTATGATCAGATATCGACATCTTCAAGCGCGTTCCGAGTGATTTGAACACGGAGCGCCAGAATTCAGCAGTGAATCGTGGATCTCTGTCTGATACGAGTTCACGGGACAACCCATGAAGTCGGAAGATGGTGTCGATAAAGACATAAGCACAGCCACTTACCGTGATTGACTCCCGTACAGCCACAAGGTGTACCATTTTGCTGAATCTGTCAACAAATACAAGAATACCCGTATTCTTGCGTGCGTCTTTGGGTAACCCGAAGAAAAATCTATTGAGGTGGATTCCCAGCACTCTGCCAGAACTGGTAAAGGCTGCAAAGGTGCACGCAGTGAAGGACTTGACTTCACTCGTTGACAGACTTCGCATGCGCGAACATACTTTCGCACAAACTGATACTGGCGGGGCCAGTAAAAGTCTCGACTCACCGTGAGATATGTTTTCTCGCGGCCACGATGTCCTCCTATAGGAGCATCGTGATTTTCGAACATGATCCGCAAACGCAGATCAGTATCATCAGGGATGACAACACGTGGTGTGACACCAGAAACGGCTGTATAATACAGTAACCCGTTTCGAGTAGTGTATCGATCTGATGTAGATTGATACGCAGACGATAACGGTTTTAACGATTCTCGAGATGGTTGGGAGAGATGTGACAACAACTTCACTATCTCACCATCTTGGGCGTATGCTCGCCTCACATCATCATACAACGTTGTAGATGGGACTGAGGACGTCATAACCGCAACATTGGCTGTCTCACTGTTGGGTTTTACGACTGGTTCAAAGTCGGGCCGACGTCAGAGTGCATCAGCGACGACATTAATTCGTCCTGGTTTGTATTCGACCGTAAAGTTGTATTCTGCAAAGAATGACAACCACCGCGCCATTCGTTGTGAAAGGTGCGGGCTGTTTACTGCCGTGCGTAACGACGCATGGTCTGTGTAAACAATGAAGGGTCTATCTCCTAATAGATAGACTCTGAACTTCGCGAGTGCATACTTCATGGCAAGGGGTTCCTTGTCATGCACTGGATAGTTTCCGCTCAGCTAGTTGCAGCTGACGCGACTGATAGCAGACGACGCGTTCAACGCCTTCAAGATCGTACTGCATTAATGCACAGCCGATTGCGAAATCGCTGGCATCACAGACCACATGAAATGGCCTGTCCTGATCGGCTATTGCTAGGACTGGGGATTGCATCAAGCTCTGCTTGATACCGTTAAAGGAGCGATGACATTCAGCGTTCCATAACCACCTCTCGTTCTTTTTCAACAAACGAGAGAGGTGCACAGTCATCTCGGCGTAATTGCGTGAATACTTGTGCAAATACGCCGCTAGCCCAAGGAATTTTCGAAGACCTTTGACATCAACCGGCACAGGCCAGTTGGTGATCGCCTTGATCTTTTCGGGATCAGGACGTACACCGTTCTTACCAACGATGCACCCAAGAAGTGGTATTTCTCTTGCTGCAAATATACACTTCTTGAGATTTGCTTACAATTGATGCTTTCGCATGATTGTAAGAACCTGTCGGACGTGGTATCTGTGAACCTCAACGTCCGACTTTCCATCCATAGCTCGACTATGGATGAATACGTCATCGAAATAACTCGGCGCGAATTCTTGTACTGGTCTCAACAGATGTGTATCACATCTGTTGAACGTGGCAGGGGCATTGCTAAGCCCTTGTGGCATTACTAGCCATTCCCAGACATGCCGCTAGGCGTGCTCACTGCGGTATAGGGTATATCCCGTTCTCGCATAAGGATTTGATAGAAGCCATCCATCAGATCCATGGACGAAAAGATGGTACTCTTTGACATACCATCTATGATGACGTCCTTCCTTGGTATCGGCCTCTGAGCCGGTACCGTTGCAGCAGTCAACTTGTTAAATGCATGCACAATCCGCTACCCTTCTGTTTCCTTTTGCACACAGAAGGTCGGAGAGCTCTGTGGGGATGTTAATTCCTCACATGACCAGCCGCTAAGCGATCGGCAAAGAATTTGTTGATCGCTGTGACCTGTTCACGAGACAGTGGCCAATGCTTCATGACACAGCATTTCGAACCGGGTTTCAGTTTAATTTCATGCCGAGTGCCTTTGTCTTTAGGCGACTCGCATGGCACAGATTCAAGGAAAACATTCCCTTAATTCAACCAAATCCTTATATAAAGGATTCGTCTTCAGATACTTCCAAGATTGAGACGTGTATCGCTCGATCCGAGTCTTCTCATCGAGGGTACTCTCGTCCATAGATGAGATACTTAGAACCCGTTCGTTCTAAGCAAACACTTGTGCCGACCGAATATCGGCGACTTACTCGTCCTCTGTGACAAGTACACAGATCTGCTCGATCTTGTCACTACGCAGATCTCGCAAGAATCTTTTAGATTCTACCCTTGGCAACTTGACTACCTCCGAAGCTGACTTTTGGGGCGTAACCAGATCAAGTGTATAAGCGCCTACACTCGATCCGTCATTCACCAAGACATTCATGGTCTCGGTGATTTCCTGGGAAACACACCCACAGGTGATTGGGGATTCAAACCCTCAACATAACTCTCTCGGGAGTTATCACTCTCAGGAACGCTGGAACTTTCTTCCATTACGTGTACTGACTGTGGGTGCACTACCACAGTCACTTCTTCTTCGATCTAATCTCTTTCAATCGATCGGGCTTGCTGTACGATCGACTCTATGTTAGTCGATCTTGCTGTAACGTGTTGTTCACCCTGAACAACGCTAATCTCTCTTCTTGGATGCACCCATCTTGGTGTGCATCCATGTTTCAGTCCACTCGATCTCTTCAAGTGGTGAACCTTCGGCACAATCTGTGTCTCACAGGTGCCGGAAACTGGTTCCACAGTGTAGTGGCCTTCTACACTGTTATCTTGTGCAGTCGTACTAACGACCGTACCACAAGTGAGGCCATCGCACTCACTCGTAGTACATCCACACGCTTGTGGACGCTCCAAGACGTTCATCAGATGGCAATCCGATGAACAAGCGGCAGGCGTCTTCACGGATCAATGCTGCCAGCTAACCCATGGCTGGTACTTTCTAAGCCATGGCAGACCAAGGATGACATCAAATTTGTCGTCCAAATCCAGTACGATAAATTCATCATCGTACTGCTTTTCTTCTAGCGTGTAGT